CTGCTAGAACTGCTATTGTTTCATAGCACATACTGAGCAGGAGTATTGCTCCTTCATTCAAAGGAACGTCAATCCCTTGCAGGTCACCCTGCATTCATCAGATTTCCCTAAGAGTTTGCTGGTATACATTAATAATACTCCTGGATGGAAAGATGCTCTGTGAGAGTGAAGTTTATCAAGGACTCAACAACTGCTGATGCTTAAAGCTAATTCCTTTTTACCTAAGAAATGGCTCACGTAAACAGTCTCCATAATTTGTCATTGCTCCAGGGACCATCACATTCACTGGACATCCACCATTCCATGCCTCTTTTGACCAGTCCTGATTAAATAAACAAACAAAAATAAATAAAAGAAAATTAATGAAACACATCAAAATGTCTTAACGTAATCAAAACCGTTTATCAATTTAAAAAATTATATCCATTCATGTTGAATGTGAATTTGATGTCAAAATGATTTCAAACTAGTTTGATTTGTGATTTTTTAAAAATTGTTTTAAGAATTGTAGAATTTCTTGTAGACAACTTGAACAGAGGAAAGATAACTGTTATGATAATAAAACTAGTAGGTTTAAGTCTTTTAATTTGACTTAAGGTAGAAGTACTTTCAACTCTAACATATTCATCTTCTTCTCCTTACTCTAGAAGAATAAAAAAACTTACCTGGATGGGGCACCTACAATTCATGAAGACAGACTAATCAAGGGAGGGTGCTTATCAAGTTCAGGACACTTTTTTTTATTTTTGATAACCAGCAGAACCAATGAAACAAAGCTTTGATGCTTATAAAAAAAGCAGCAAGAACACTGGAATAGGGATGCTTCTTGGAGCAAGAGTGCTTGCTCAATAGGGGCACTTACTAACGGAAACACATTTGAGGGGGCACTTATTAGAGAGGGGGATGCTTATCAGAATGAGGGCGCTAAATCAAAATAATACTTATGATATTCCACTCACAGAGAGAATTCTTTTATTGATGAAACTACAAGCTCCTCAATAAAATGGAAATTATGGAAAATTTACACAAATTATGGGGAATTATTTAAAGTAACACTTACATTTTAAATTTCACAGATCTGGTCATCTGAGGTTTAAAAGCCAATTGAGCATACCTTTATTGTAAAATCAATAGGCTTCTCTGCTTCTTCACCAAAATACAATTTCAAAGCCTTAAGGATTGCTTCTCTTTTATTTTTATCCTAGCAAAAAAAATTCAGGATCAAAAGTTAGAAGTCTCAAGGAAAACCTCCACACTTCCTTCATTAACACTTAATCCTTTGACTCCCAAGATCTCATTTAGTAATTCTCTTTACTGTCTGCCCTACAATTCTTTTGATAATTCAGAGAATTTAGTATTGGATCAACTGTTGTAGTATTTATCCCCTAATTGATGTTTTTTTAAATTCTCATCACTTGTCTACTTGATTTTGTAGTGATATTGTAAGGAGAAATCCTGTCTTGGTCTAAGGATTAACCCTTTACACCCCAACATCATACATATTCTTCATACTGTGCTCTGTAAATTTCCTTAGGTGCTGATGGGGAGAATTTGTTTAACAATCAAGACCTCCTTTAGTTGATGATCATTTTCCCTATTCTTGTGACCTAAATTTTGGATTCAGGGCTGATAATGTAAGGAGAAATTGGATGCTGGTCTCTCTTAGGGGTTAAAGAGTTAAGTGCGATATGACTATGGTAAGACATGGCCATTTATATTAATTAGAATGGATAACTTCCTTGAAAAGAATGGTGATTATAGGTAAATGGTTTGTGGCCTGTCTTTTCTCTCATAGTCCTATGAGCACCCTAATGGAGGTTAATCAAAAGCACACAAGAAAAAACAAACCACTCTACAGACCCTTCTCTCTTTTTCTACACTCTTCGCAGGTCAAGGAATGAAGCAGCTTAATTTTTCAACAAGGAAGGATTTGATATATTCAGGGTTAAATGAGTGATTTGATCATTAAAGCTAGTGTATCACATCAAGTTCAAGTTCCAGAGGAAACTTTCTAGAGCAAACATAACCCTAATTAACTCCCATGATCTGATTGTTAATTCTCCGCTCAGGCAGCTACACATTTCCTTGTAAATTAGTGACAAGAATTTGGTGTTAGTTCAAGATTATCATAATAACTTCTACCTGATTTTGAGTATTCTCACTACCTGTTTTATGCATAATGTATGGATACCATAGAGAGAAGTTACATATTAATCACTCCTGGAGGTAAAAGGTTTAGCTTCACCTTTAGGGATATCATTGAATATCAGTTGTGACATTACCATTACTGTGCTCCACTGAGCTGCTGCATACGAAGTTATAAATCCAACAATTGCAGGGTTTCCATCAGATGATGTTGCATCAAATGTTACTGCAATAGGATTATTCTCACAAAAACCTTTAGTTGTGTTTCTGGCCATGTCTCCTGACAACCCTGCCTTCCTCCAGAAGGCTGTTGAATATGTTGCCACAAACTTCATCAAATGCGACGGAGGCATGTTTTGAATAAGACGCTGCTTGTTGTATGGAAGGGGTGGACTAAATTTGATCTGACCTTAGGAAAAAATTAGCAATAAAGTTAGACAACTTATAGGGTGGAAATTGGCTTGAATCACGCTTTTAATTCACCATGGCTACCAAAAAGCTTTGTTGTGCTCAATGTAAATTGTGTTCCCCCACTCTCCTTTTCCAAAGACTAATGAATTGCCTGTGTGGATAACATAAGGGCAGGTTTGCAATACATATTGAAAATTATAACACTACTTACAAAGAGATATTAAAAAAATTGTTTTTCTCATCTATTTAACTTTCTAACCTATCAAATGAGGTGGAACTGCAAGAATTATAAACTTGGCTTTATAAGACCGGCTACCAAGGCTGGTTACCATCACATGGTCATCTTCCTGACAAAACAAAAATTTTCTGAGTTATTCAAGTTATTTTCCAGCTCAAATTTCAATCACGGTTGTTAAGTCAAGCAATTGGGGCCATTTTCACTCCTGTTAGGAATATCCATTTTTATTTTACATATGTAATTTGGAAAAGAAAAGAAAAGCACTTTGAGAGTGAAATCTCCCAGATCTTTAAATTCATGCATGCATGCATGCAGCCACATTTTCTTGGACAGAATACCAATAATTGCTCCATGTGCAGTTTAATTACTCAACTTGAGTCACAAAAGTTGCTCAAAGACAAAAGTTGAAAGTCCCTTTCTCCATAAAGTATCCATGGCTTGCTAGAGCAAAGCTCTGTGACTTTAAAAGTGATGAGCAAAGCAGGAAATGACAGCTTATTATCTCATGTACTACATGCTTATAGAACTTGAACCAAGACTATCTCAGAGTCTCAAATCTGAGTAGTTGTCATTAGATCATTGAACCCCTGGCACAAGTGATCAGCACTACATATTTACCTGTTTTATTGATGTGACTGGCTGATTTAAAAGAACTCTGCCCTTTCCCAGTCTGCCAGCAAGTACTTCAGTTACATTATGAGCAGTTCCCTTTTGGCAAAAACAAATATAGTGCAAACAATAAATAAAATTCAATTATTAAATTCAATATACATAATAAGTTATCACCCTGTTTTAAGAAGTCCATTTTCAGAGTCCCACACTTTTTCCCTACAATTACTGCAATTTCTACCTCAGTTGATTAAGCAGTCACCTCTAATAAGCAGTCATGGTCACCTGTTACTGAGTTCTAACTGCATATTTGTATTGTTGCTCACTGTACAGTATCATATGGTGCAACCACTCAAAAAAATTATAAATATTCTTTCAAGAAACTTAACTACATGTCTGTATCCCAAAATCAATGTTAACCCTTTAACTCCCATGAGTGACCAAGACAGAATTTCTCCTTACAATGTCAATACAATATCAAGCAGATAAGAGATGAGAATAAAGAAAAGCATCAGTTAGGGGATTATAAGTTGACTAAATTCTCCAAACCACCATTACAAGAACTGTATGAGAGATGGTAAGGAGAATTACGAATTTGATCTGGGAGTTAAAGGATTAAAAGAAACCTGAGGTGCTTCGTTGGTGGGGGAGTATAACGAGATAATTTGGTTCCATTAACTTGGTAAATGTAAATTTGTCACCATAGAGAGTTTCTGAAGCTAAAAAAAAAACTCCTTAAAACCTTTATACCCTAACATCAGTATGTATATTCTCCATACTGTTTTATAAACATTTCCTAAGGTACTGACAAGGAGAACATTGTCTAACAATCAAGAGCTTCCTTAGTCGGTGATCAGCTCTTTTATTCTCCTGACCTTAATGTTTGATTCAGGGGTGATGTGGTAAGGAGAAATTACATGCCACTCTTAGAGGTTGAAGAGTTAAAGGGACAAACATTTTTGAGACTCTCTGCAGTACCCCTTATTTGTATTACCTTAATTTTCCACTCCTGCGCATGGCCCTTCACACTTGGATCTGTCATAATAGACCACCCCCCTGAACAGTTCAGGTAATGCAGAAAATACAGGAAGGACATCTGAGATGGTGTTACTCCGAACATGATGCCAATCACTATGTCAAATAACTCTTTTGCAGCTAAAAGTAGAGATTAAGGTAGTATGACAATATAAATGTCAAAAATAGTCATGGAGATAAATGTCATAATATAATATTCATATGATAATAACAATGGAAAAAAAGAAAAGAGCACCAGCATTTTCATACATGTCAGGTTAGAATTAGAATTTGGGAGTGATGGTCAATTAGGAAGGGTAAAAAATCAGTTAAATAGCCTTAATAAAAACTCTTACATGGACAAGCCATTAGTGAACTCAATGGACATATGATGCTAAATGTGGGTATCACACCTCCGTCACAGTCAGAGGCATGCAAACTCTAATGGCATAATGCCCTCATCTTTCTTTAAATACTTTTCGATGTCAGAGGAGACTTGTGATCAAATATACATTCTTGATGACAAAAATTTTTTCTTATTTTTCTTATTTTAGGGGGATAATTTGAACACCAATGTTGTCCAATAAAAAATATATAAGGTAACTGTGCTTGTACAAAAGACTATTACACACATTTACATCATTCATTGCAGTGCAATACTGAGGAATCACCTTAATGATAATGACATGATTTCTGGAGCATACGGGTACTTTCCATTCATTGTGAAATTTGGAAAATTTCAATGGTGTACTGACCAATCACAATAAAGTTTAGAACACATATGCAATCCTCAAAGCCACACACGTATTAGCCATGATTTTGCTTTGAAATTTAGTGTTCTAACATGCAAATCACTCTTTTTGTGAAATACACGGATACTGTGCCATATATATTTTATGGTTTTCTGAGTTTCAATACAATTTGCCTTCCAAATTAAGGTAGTTGGGAGAAGTAAGCTTCAAAGAAAGAGAGATCACTGTGCCTAAAGTGCATATTGTAACAACTTATGACACTTAAACACATTTCTCACCATTTGTCCATAGTGTCTGATGTTTCCATGTCTCTAAAGTCATTCCATCCCATTCTTCAGCACAAGGACACTTACTAGGATTATCGATAGGAACTTCTTTGCACAACCTCTCAACCTTGTGAATCATCAAGGGAAAAAAATTGTAAAATAAGCATAATCGGTAATATCTATTTCCAGCTCAGTTCATCCCATCCTTTGAGCCAGCCTTGTTTTCCAAGCTCTCTCCTCTTCTCCTGGGAACAAGGCTTTGAGCGAGCAAAATATTAACTAGCAAAAAAAAAAAGCTATACTTCATAAAATATCTGAATACCCAGCATTTCTAAATATACAAATGCGAGGATGAGAACAGACTGGAGAGAGGAAAAGGTACAAGAGAAATAGGAGCTCAGAGCTGGAAAAGAGAAATTCAAGCAGACAGAACGAGGAACATAATTCAAAGGGGCAAATATCCCTTTGTCATTAATTGGCTGTGTGAGGAGAGGAAAAGGAAGAAGAAGAGCTAGGAACAGAAAGTGAAAATGTCACCTTTCTCTGAGTATCCCCTTCCCCCCTTCCCTTGCCTCCCAGCTTAAATTAAAAGAATTGGGTCGAGGACATTAAACAGTTTTATAACATAGCTAGTAAATTTGTCTGATCAAATTCAATTGCACAAGCATGCACGCTCATGATGTCAGCAAACATATCCCTCGAGAAAAATTTTCCATTGAGTTGAAAATGTTATAAAACAATTGGTTCAATTGTCAGCTGTGCATTCATCGAGATATGAAGCACTTGGGAAGTTTAGAGAGCACCCAAGAAGCTAGAGTTGCTCAAGGCGTAGCCAAGAGCAACTCTTACCCATTTTTCGTGCTCTCCAAACTTCCCATGTGCTTCATATCTCAATGAACGCACGCTAACATATGAACCAATTGTTAAGAGTCAATTATAGCTTTCAGAAGACAAGAAGACAAACTATCAACAGAGTTGTCTGCAACTTACCTTATAGATGGACCACAACAGGTCAAGAACTGCAATATAAGACACTGGTGGAATCTCACCAGAATACTTGGTAATGACATTATTATTGCTGTGCCACACTTTGCTTCCACTGTACAATTGATTATACACTTCAATGTCCAATTCCTCAAGTAGACTCATAAGAGTCTTTTGATTCCTGCGAAGGAAACAAAAAAATTAGCTTAAGGAAGTAAACGTATTTTCTCATGCTCCTAACTGTTACCTCATTTTCAAATATAAACACACTGATTATTCTAAGACTAATTTTCACACAACTTTGAAAGGGAACAATATGCAAGAAAAATTTTGTCTCATTGTTTGAAGCATCACAAAGAAACTTGTCCAGTAGAATCCTGCTAACTTGAACTTGGCCAACCCGTTAACCCCTAAGAGTGACTGGCATCTAATTTCTTCTCACAATATCACCCCTAAATCGAACATTAAGGTCATGAGAATCAAGGAAATGATCAACAACTAAAGAACTCCTGACTGTTCAACAAATTCTCCTCGTCAGAACCTTAAGAAATGTATAGAGAACAGTATGGAGAATATGCATTCTGATGTTAGGGTGTAAAGGGCTAACTCCAATCCCCGGTAACTTGAACAAGATCTGATTTCCCTTGACCCCATTTTCTCAATAATGTAGGATATTATCTCCAATTGTTCTCACCTACATACCCATTGTCCTCCAACATCCCATCTGTCTGTTCCTTTCACAGTTTTAAGTTCCACACTGTCAAGTCTTCCACCAACTCTGTCTAAGTTTTCACAAATTGTTTTGATTAAAAGATTATAGTTTATAAACTTTACATCTACGATAAAATGTCAACTTGTCTTTAAATGCTGCAACACATCTCTGATTTCTGACACATACAGCCACAAGGAAGGTGTCTACTCTGGAGGAAATCTTCATCCATTAATCTTTTGACCGCTAAGAGTGACTAGCAGCTAATTTCTCCTTCCATATCACCTCTGAATTACACAAATTGAACTCAGAAGAATAAAGGAAATGATCACTTTTTGAAGAAGCTCTTGATTGTTTAACAAATTCTCCTTGTCAGCATCTTGGAAAATGTATAGAGAACAGTATGGAGAATATGCAAACTGGGTATTGAGGGTTAGGTGTCTTGCCATTTAACAGTGTTGACAAAACCTGGATTTGACCAGACTGGATCTCAGACTAGACCACAGACTGGATCATGGATCGGATCACATTAATTGAAATTAGAAATTTTGCGTGACAAACCAAAATAAAGTCTGTGTGACATAATGGAGTGCAAGCCCCACTGGGGTTTTTTTTTTTGCCCAAAAACCCTGTGTAGTCACATTTCACCAGCAAGTAATTATTTCAGTGACATTTGGTTTGTCATGCAGTTCTTTCAATAACATTAGTGTTTCGCCACTGTTTGAGATCAGTGGAGGTGCTTAATTGACCAAAAAAAACAAAAATCAAATGCTAAATCACATAAAATCCGCAAACCAAAATGGAGAAAATTGAAAAACCAAAGTTTTTTGACACAAAAAACCAAAAAACCAATCTAAAATTAGCCAAAACTGCAAAACGCAAAATCCCCAATTCCCTCCTCCTGATTGAAGAATGATATGTACCTCTTGCTAGCTTTTGTCCATGACAGCATGACACAACACTCCTCAACACAGCTGTGAAAGTGACTACATGGAGTTTTGGGGGAAACTCTCAAATGGACCTGCACTCCACTGTGTCACCCAGACTCTATTTTGGCATTTTATGCAACATCTCAAATTTTCATTGAAATATTTTAATTTCTTAACATCCTTTTTTTTAAACTATTTATTATTTTGTAAGGATTTGATTGTTTTATTTTTCAAACTCTTTTCTTTTTTGAAACATGATCCAATCTGTGAAGGTTTTGGGCAAAAAACTTTCAGGGGGGGCCTGCACTCAACTATGTCATGCAGACTTAATTTTGGCTTGCCACGCAAAATTTCTTCTTTTATTTAACATGATCCGATCCATGATCCGTGATTCGGTCCGTGATCCAATCCGTGATCCGGTCCGGTCCGATCCAGATTTTGTCGACGCCGCAAATTTAAACGACATCGACTCAAACCGTTCCGTGAGTCGTTCCTTTCAAAGTCATAATTTGCATCCTCGAGTAACGGGCTTCGTGTACGCTTTTAGGTTTACCTTTTTTCCCTTTCGTATATCTCTTTTTAATTTCTCCAATTTAAAGGACACAATCTGTTCACCAAAATTATGCAATAAAAAGTATAGGTCGCCTTGTTTGTTTACGGGCGATAGACCATTGTACTACTTTACCTGGTCCATGGATTGAAAATCAATACCATATTCTCGGAATGCGTGCGCGCTCATTCCCTGGATTATGTAATTTTTAAGCGTAAGATAGGATGCGTGGTGCAAAACTGAGGAATCACCTTAACGGTTGCTAACGCGCTCGACGGGATCCTACCATGAGCCTTTACATTAATTTTGTACGAGTGGTTTCTGCTAGTCGTGAAGAGAAAAATGAAAACTTAACAGCGTGAGAGAAAAATAAAGAGAGGTCAACCGGCTGGCATGCAAGCTTAGCATTTAATTACAAGGTCACGCTCAAAAGATCAGATAAATTAAAGTTACTTACCGACGCCCTCAAAAAAAAAATTGCATCAACAAATTATCAACCTGTCAAAACTTTCAGGCATACCTTTAGCTTCGAGAACTACAAGCTTCATTTTCGGGCGTTTCTTCAGCAATTCGTAGGCTGCAGAAAGGCCTGACATTCCTCCTCCAATGATGACAACGTCGACAATTTCTGGTGAAGCAGCCATGTTCTTAGGCTAAATTACCAGCCGCTGTTCGAGTATATGAGCCCGCGCTCATCCCCGTAACCCACTCCTCTCAGGGAGGAGTGAAGACCGGACACGAGAGAGCGGAGGAAATCGAGCCAACTATGTTCCAGAAAACTTAACTTTTGGCTTTCGCGAAAAAAAAAGCAATTGTCAGGATGCAAAAGCTGGGCTTTAAAAAAAAAACAATCATAGCTTTTACGTCATAAATATCAGAGGAAACACGATGAAAGCAGGTGATAAATGTTTTATAGACACTTACTTGGTAAACTCTAAATGCCCGTGAAAAATCTGGAACCAATAAAAGGTTCTAACCAAGAGAGAGGGGTCGTAGCTCTTAAGTAAGGGCTGGGGGAGGGGTGTAAGAGAGAGTGTAAGAGGGGGTTGTAACAAGGCTTGGCTGACCCCCTTCTGGACTGGAAAGTAATTATTTATTGCAATGCTTTAAACATCTTTATCATGCCCATAAGTTTGCGCACAAAATTTTGTTAAAAATTCCTTCTTAAGTCTTTGAACGAAGGCACACCACCACATCAGTGCACCCATGTAGGAAGTCTAAAGATTTTTTTTATATAAAATATATAATTTACATAAAATTTCTAAAATAGTTTCAGGTAGTTTAGTCTAATCTCTAAGGATCTCTTCGGTCAAAGGGGGTCTGTTTTCGAGCAAGAAGGACAAACGTCTCGATAAACTGAGTGAAGGTCAGCATATGAATCGTAAAAATAGCTTCAGCTTTTCATCTTTGGTTTTCAATCAAACCTTGGTTTTCACCAGCGACCTAAGCACGTGGGCAAACCGAAGAGCATGCGCAACCATTGTTTTGACCCTTCAATTCTCCCTGAGTGACCAAGACATAATTTCTCCTTACGGTATCAATACCATATCAAGCAGACAAGTGACAGGAATGAAGAAAAAAACAATTAGGGGATTACTAATTGATCCAATAGCAAATTCTCCGATCTAACACTATAAGAGTAGAGATTTGCAGGTAGACAATAAGGAGAGTCACTCATTAGATCTTGAGAGTGAGAGGATTGACGTGGAAACAGCCTCGATGCGAATTACAGCGATCAAATGTATTCATTTGTAGTGCTTCTGTTTTTAAGTTAAGCACCAGTAAAATGTCTAGTAAGTACAAGAAGAGATAATCATGCCTAAGACATGGAAGAAGGAACTTCGGAGGTTTATCAAAAAGATGCCTTTATTCATACGATGGGTATATTTGAGACTGAAACAGCAACCTTATGACACGTGCATAACATTTCAAAAACTTCCCCTCGACCAGGATAATTTTTGAGCGACTGCTAAAAGTATGTCGATAGTTTGTTGGACTCCTGTAATTGGCTCACCCAAAGTGGTCTTACTGCCAATGGGAACCAAGTTCACTTTCTTGTCCAATCAGGAATGGGACAAGAATTACAAAGCTTTAACAGATATTCCATAGCTTCTCCCGCACTTTTTGTCGATGGCTTTGCATCTTGTGATTAAATAGATGAGACAGAAGATTCGAAAAATGGGCGGATCCAAATATTTTTGATAGGGGACGTCGAATTCATCATTTAGAAAACAAACAACCTTCTTTCACACAATTGCCTGGTGAAGCAACATGTGATTCCATCGTTGTAACAATTTTTGAGGCAGAAAAATAATAAAAAACACCAAAAGCCTGATGGAAG